TCTAGCATAGCTTTTCAATATTTAAGCATTGCTCCATTGTGCAGTTGATCTTAGATAAGCATTAGTTGATACAAATTTTGTGAGAGTTAAATAATAGTAAAAAATTTTTTGGTAGGCCCGGATTTTGTTGTGTGTGATGAAGGTCATATACTAAAAAATGAAGCTTCAGCTGTATCCAAAGCTATGAATTTGATTCGTTCAAAAAGACGAATTATTTTAACAGGAACACCTCTACAAAATAATCTAATTGAATGTAAGTTACTGTCCTCTTTTGAGTTATTTTGAGTATTTTTTCAGCATGGATATGATTTATGTTCCTAATCTCTTTACCTACAGTCTTTTTAGAATTTTTTTCTTTTATTTATTAACTTGTCTGAATTATTTCAATTATTATAACATTTATTTCTGTTAAAATTTGTGTTAAATTATGTCTTTGTGTTTTAAAAATATTACTAAAGTTTTACTTATCATTAAATTTTCTGAACTATTTCTAAAAAATGTGCTTACCAACATCTTCAAATATAGTTGGATTGTTAAATAATTATTTGGCAAGTGCTAATTGAATTATCACATTTCATCAGATCTCATTTATTTAAAAAAACTTTGTTCATCATTATTGCATTAATGATATAAAATTGGTTGAATAAAATGTGATGTATTTGCAATGACAATTTATTTTTCTTCTCTTAGATCACTGTATGGTTAATTTTGTCAAAGAGAATCTACTTGGTTCTATTACGGATTTTAGGAATCGATTCATAAATCCAATTCAAAATGGCCAGTGTGTAGATTCCACCACGACAAATGTTCAAGTAATGAAAAAGCGTGCCCATATTCTCTATGAAATGTTAGCTGGCTGTGTTCAGGTAGATGTAAATATATATTCATCTATACTCAGTCAGTTTTAGTTGAAAACTCTGTAATTTTGCTTGAAACCCTTCATGATATGTTGTTACATTTGAAGTATAAAGTAAGAAAGGCAAAGGTCCAAGCATGATCAATTTATTAGACTAGCAGTAACCAGTGAGTTGAATCAGTTGCTTCTCTCAGTGACAAAGACCCCAAGGTAATTAGTTAGTTTTGGGAAATTCAAGAGAACAAAGGACATAGTTGGATAGGTAAGGAAAGACAGTTAGGGTAGATAGTCATAGGTGTTGGGACAGCATGATTGGTTACATCAAGGAAACTGGTGCTAGTAACTCCTCTCAGCATATTGTAGACATTGTGAGTGGACCTGAATTAGCAGATTCTCCAGAAAGCTTTGTTAGGAAGATAATGGTTTTCCTTGGTGGTGCAGAGACACTTCAGGGGCACTGTATCTCTTAGAACTTCCTTCAAGACAACTTGGTTCAAGATAACACCTGATGTTTTAGTATTTTCCTAGTTTTTCCCATTAATTGTAACTTTAATCTGAGAGGGAAAGTTGAGTTCTCAGGCTCAATTCAAGGACAAAGAAAGGTGGCTAGATAATGTAATTGATAAATGAATAATAATCTCTTATACAATATATCCTACTTTTGGTTGGAGAAAAGTTATTTTTACCAAAATTTTTGGCACTGTCAGATTGTTAAACATTAGAAACTGACAAGTTTTTTTTTTTATCAGTAGAAAGACATTAAAGAATAGGCATTGCCATCTGTTTTCCTGTTGCACCCTAAGGACTGTGGGACTTTTCAATCTGACTTGGAACTGAAGTCTTACACATACACACACACACACACATATGTATATATATATATATATATATATATATATATATATATATATATATACATATAGTGTGTGTGTGTGTGTATGTAATATCTATTTGTATCCCTAGTGCTTTGCACATATGGCAAGTATTTAACAAATATGTCCATTCATTCAATTATTCATCACCTTGAACCTGTAAACTTCAAGGAGTTCAAACACCATCTGTCCTGCCCAAGCAACCCAGGGGTGAGAACAGAAGTGGAAAAGGACACAGAAGACCATGTAGCTCTCTGAATTTTGATCAAGGAGCTGGATGGATGAAGGGAGGAATAAAAAACTAGGCTTCTTAGCCACCCAGTACCCTGATCCAGGACAGCCTGCTACATCCTAAGAGTAGACACACCAAGTGAAAGAGAAGCGACATCAGATAGTCAAGTTAACAAGCATTTATTAAGCACTTTCCATGTGTCAGGTATTGTATTGCGGAGACACATAGCCACCATCCCAAAATCAAGAAATTGCCATTCTAACAAGGAAACTATATTTGAGATATATGAACAATGGTAAAAAAGGGAATAATTTCAAAAAGGAAGGTATTAGTAGTGGGGGATGGAGAGCGAAGGAGGAGAGACCAGGAAAGGCTTCAGGTAGTAGATGGAATTTGAGATAAGACTTAAAATTAAGTCAAAATTTTATTTATATGTTTGTAAATATCCATGTACTGCATTTAAGTTGTCAGTTGTGTTAGTATTTATCAGTCAGACTTTTCCTGACCCCATAGAATATGGCCTTCTGTCATCCATTATCTCTCAAACTCTATCCAAGTTTATGTTCGTTGTTTGCATGGCACTATTCTAACCAGCTTCAGTATTTGGCCTTCCAGTGAATAGCCAGAATTAGTTAATTTAAGTGTGAATGATTTGGTTTCCTTGTTGTCCAAGGGACTCTGGAAAGTCTTCTCCAGTACCAAAATCTGAAAGTGTTGATTTTGTGGAGCACAGCTTTCTTTATAGTTCCAATTCTCCCATTGCTCCTGGAAAAACCATAGTTTTCACTATATGGAAGGGTCAGCAGGGTAATGCCTCTGCTTTTCAGCCTGCTGCCTAGATGTGCCTTTCTTTCCAAGGAGCAGTCTCTTTTAATTTCATGGCTGATGTCACCATGTGCAGAGATTTAGCCCAAGACCATAAATCTGACACTACTTCCATTTATTCTCCCTCTATTTGTCAGGAAGTGATGGCCAAGCAATCAAGATTGTAGTTTTGTTTTGTTTTTTATTTTACATTTCAGGACATAGGTCAGAATAGTTAGTTTCTAGTAATTTCCTTTATTCATTTTTTTTCTGAAAAACCTCATTTTTTAATTTTCATAGTAAAAATTTGGGGCCCCTCTCTTTTTAGATCAAACTAGCTCATGACTTGAAAAAGCCTCACTTCAATTAAAGTCCATTTTTCTCCCATAGAATCATATTCAGCTTTGCAGGGTAGATCATGTAAGACTGTATCTTTTGCCTTTTAGGTATTCCATGTTTTCTCACAAAATTTCTATCAGTAGCTGCCAGATCTTGTGGAATCATAAGTAGTGTGTGAACTGGTTCTTTCTGGATGAAGCATTTTTTGTTTGACATGGACTTTATGAATTTTGGCATTTGTGAGATTTTCTGTTTGAGATTACTTTCAGGAAATGATTGGGGTATTCTTTTTCTCTTTACTTTGCTCTCTTGTTCTAATAGATTAGGGTAGTTTTACTCATGGTTTCTCAAATTATAGTATGTTGATCTTTTTTTTTTTGGTTATGTTTTTAGGGAGTTGAATGAGTCTTAAATTATTTTCCTTGGCCCATTTTCCATTTTACTAGTTTTTTACATCAGAATCTTAGATTTCTTTTTTTTCCCTCAATGCTCTTGTAAATTCAGTTACCATTCTTTCCTCCAGGCCTTTTAGTCAAAAGACTCTTTCCTTATTTAACCCAGGTATTCATGCTAGATAGTTGGAACTCCATTGAATATTTTTGTAATCATTATGACTAATTTGCTTATTTATTGTGGGCATCTCTAGTTTTTATGTACATACACATACATATATATGTATATTTATGCTGATGAAAGCTTTCTTTGATTTACTCATCTCTCTAGCTTTGGACATTTTATACCTTCTGCTGTACTTTTGATTGGGATGGTTAGTCTCAGAGTAATAATTTTTAAAGTTTCTTTATCTCAGTTAAGGACCTTGGCTCCCTTGGACTTGAAATCAAATTCACCCTTGAATTCTTACTACCTTGGACTCTTAGAAAGTTACTTCACCTCTGTTTGCCTTTGTTTCCTCAGTAGTAAAATGTGCTTACAGGCTTGTTGTGAGGATCAAAGGAGATAATATATGTAGAGTGCTTAGTGCTTTAGGCTTGGCATATAGTATAAACGTTAGAGATTTATTACTCTCTGTTGCAGCTAAAATCCCATCTTCTATAGGAAATCTTTTCCAATTCTCAATTATGTTGCCTTTCCTCTTTGAATAATTTCCATATTTATTGTGTACATTTCTGGTTTTGACAATATTGTTAGCTTCTTTTTTCTTTCTTAGATTGTGAACTCTTTAAGGGCAGGGACTGTTATTTTGCCTCTTTGTTGTAGACCCAGCACATTGCCTGCCACATGATGGACTCTTAATAAATGTTTGTTGACCGACTGACAGACTGACCATCTTATGACTTTCTAAAACACAAAACCATGTGGACAGCCTCTGCAAAAGAATCCCTATAGAAAAAAGCAGCCTAGCACTGTTGTAGGTACCACAACATTGACTACTAAATACTAAAAGCCACCCAGTCTGAAATCTATCAGTTTTGTTGATGTGAAAAGTGAAGGCAGAGAACCATTTGGGGAGTCAAAATTTGGTATGTCTTCATGAGAAATTTTAAATACAGATAATATAATAAATTTATGAAATGCAAGATAATAGAAAATGAAGAACTATGTGTATGGTGAAAATTAGGTCAGAAGGGACCATTTGTTGGATAGTGAAAAAAGAATTTATTTTCACTGGACTCAGGTTGTTTTTTTTTTATTAGTACAGAAAAGATCATTTTTAAAAGTTAAATCTAAGAGAACCAGTGATTGATTATGTTAAAGAGATTATAAGCTTGAGAGTTAGGCTATTTTGGAGTTTGGAATATACCTGAATTAATTACTAGTATGAGAGCATAATTTATTTTCATTTCTTTATCTTACAGAGGAAAGATTGCACAACATTAGCAGAGTTTTTACCACCCAAACATGAGTATGTATTAGCAGTAAGAATGACTTCTATTCAGTGCAAGCTTTACCAGTACTATTTGGATCACTTCACAGGTAAAAAAAAAATTAATTTGTGTGATTATTCTTTCATGTTAATTTGTAAGGGTTTATTTGTTCCTCAAATAAAAGTGTTATTTAAAAAATTTGGAGACTTCCCCTTCCGGGAGCCAAGATGGTGGAGTGAAAAGGTAGTCGCTCTCCCTCTCCCCTATCAACATCTGAAAACCAGAAAATATCACCCCAGAAAAAACCCCTGAACACCTGAACTAGAAGAAAGACAGGGAGCAGCAGTGCAGCAGCCCAGTAAATGGGTCTCCCAGTGCCTCAGCAAAAATAAGGGAGTCATAACTACAAGGGGCCCCAGGCACATAATTACCCTGCACTATTCATCTGAAAGGAGGTGAAGAAAACAAGCTAAAGGCTTCCTAAAGCCCCAGCCTTGCTGATTCGAACCCCCAAACAGGTGAGCTATCAGAGCCCTGTAGCCTCCAATTGTGAAGAAATCCTGAAGCCCAGGTGGTAGAGCAGGCAAACACCAACACCTGGACCTCCGAGTGCCTCAGTGAGGGTGGGGGGAACCGGTGGAAACCAGCTCAGAAAACCACCAGGTGCCTGGGCACTCCACCAAAAAGGAATCTCCCAGTGCATTAGCAGAAATGAGGGAGACAACACTGCAGGGGGCCCCAGGCAGATAAACACCCTGCAGCACCCATCTAAAAGGAGCGGAAGAAAGCTAAAGGAAAGGAAAAGCAGGCAACCTAGAATTGCCTGAAAGTTCCAGCCTTGCTGATCCCAGGCCAACACGAGGTAAGCTGCCAGAAACCTACAGCCTCCAATTGCCAGCATAAGAGGCCCCAGCACAGAAAGCCAGTTATCAAGACCTAGGCTCCCAACACAAGAAGCTTGGGTCAGTACCCTCTGTTCCCCAGCAGGAGAGCTCAATCTCTTTAAAGGCCAGGGAATAAAGAAACACCATGAGTAAAAAGAAATGTACCATAGATTCATATTATGAGAAGAGTGAAGATCAAGACAGAAATTCTGAAGAGGACAACATTGTCAACAAATCCATATCTGCAACAACAAAAGGGAATATGAACTGGTCTGAAGCCCAAAAAGCCTTCTTAGAAGAGCTCAAGAAGAATTTTAATAGTCAGATGAGAGAGATAGAAGAGTCCTTCAAAAATACAGTTGGCCAATTGGAAAAAAAAATACACTGCAGAAATCAAGTCCCTGAAAAACACAATTGGCCAATTGAAGAAGGATGGACAAAAACTAATAGAAGAGTATACTGAAGGAAACAAGTCCCTAAAAAACACAATTGGCCAGTTGAAGAAGGAGGTACAAAAAATAACAGAAGAAAACAATCTGTTAAAAACTAGAATTGGACAAATGGAAACTAATGTCTCTATGAGAGACCAAGAATCAGTCAAACAGAAACAAAAAAATGGAAAAATAGATGAAAATGTAAAATACCTCATCAGTAAAACAACCGACCTGGAAAATCGACTCAGGGGAGACAATTTAAAAATCATTGGACTACCTGAAAATCATGATGAAAAATAGAGCCTGGACAGTATCTTTCAGGAAATCATAAAGGAAAACTGCCTTGAAGTCCTAGAACCAGAAGGGAAAATAACCATAGAAAGAACCCACCGATCACCACCTGAAAGAGATCCCAAATTGACAACACAAAGGAATATAATTGCAAAATTCCAAAATTACCAGATGAAAGAGAAGGTGCTGGAAGCAGCCAGAAGGAAAGAATTTAAATATTATGGAACCACAGTCAGGATTACACAGGACCTTGCAGCTTCTACATTAAAAGATCGCAGGGCATGGAACATGATATTCTGTAAGGCAAAGGAGCTTGGAATGCAGCCAAGGATCAATTGCCCAGCAATAATGAGCTTCATTTTTCAAGGGAGGAGGTGGATATTCAACGAAATAGGACACTTCCAAACTTTCCTGATAAAAAGACCAGAGCTCAACAAAAAATTTGATCTTCAAGTACAGGACTCAAGAAGGACTTAAAATGGTAAATTGGACAGAAGGATACAATACGCTGTTAATGGGGGGGGGCGTTTAAAGCCCTACAAGGGAATATGAGACTTTTCAACCCCTGAAAACTGTATTGTTCTTACACCTTGTTAAAGGAGTATACATAAAGAGGGTGGATATTAGTTGACTTTGATGTAATGATAAAAAAAATCTAATCAAGTGGGTTAAATGGATCTAAATAAGTGCATCAATCTGATCTTAGAAAATGTACTGAGAAAGGAGGAGGCAGACAAGGGTAAATTACATTACAGGAAAAGACACAAAGTCCTGTTAGGGCTGAGGGAAAGGAGGGAGGTGGGGGAGCATTGTTTGAACCTTACTCTCATCAGATTTGGCTCAAGAAGGGCACAATATAATCAGTTAGGTATAGAAATCTTACTTGCCCTATAGGCAGTAGGAGGAAAAAGGGGAAAGAAAAGGGAAGGGGGGAAAGAAGGGAGGGAAGAAGCAGTAAGACTAAAGGGGAAGAAAAGGGAAAGGGATAATAAAAGGGGGAGGGGACTGAAGGAGGCGGTGGTCAAAAGCAAAACACTAGTGAAGGGGGAAAGGAAAAAGGAGAAAGAAAAACATAAATAGGTGGAAAAAAGGATGGAGAAAAAGACACAGATAGTAATCATAACTGTGAATGTGAATGGGATGAACTCTCCCATAAAAGGGAAACAGATTGCAGAATGGATTAAAAACCACAATCCTACAATATGTTGTTTACAGGAAACACATTTGAAAAAGAGTGACACATACAGGGTAAAGGTAAAAGGCTGGAGCAGAATATATTATGCGTCAGCTGAAGTGAAAAAAGCAGGGGTAGCAATCCTGATCTCAGACAAAGCAAAAGCAAAAATAGATCTAATCAAAAGAGATAAGGAAGGAAACTACATCCTGCTAAAAGGCACCATAGACAATGAAGTAATATCATTACTAAACATATATGCACCAAATGGTATAGCATCCAAATTCTTACAGGAGAAGTTCAGGGAGTTACAGGAAGAAATAGACAGCAAAACTATACTAGTGGGGGACCTGAACCTCCCCTCTCGGCACTAGATAAGTCTAACCACAAAATAAACAAGAAAGAAGTTAAGGAGGTGAATAGAACATTAGAAAAGTTAGGTATGATAGACCTCTGGAGAAAACTGAATGGGGATAGAAAGGAATATACTTTTTTCTCGGCAGTACATGGCACATACACAAAAATTGACCATGTACTAGGGCATAAAAACCTCACAATCCAATGCAGAAAGGCAGAAATATTAAATGCATCCTTTTCAGATCATGATGCAATAAAAATTATATGTAATAAAGGGCCATGGAAAGATAGACTAAAAAAAATTGGAAACTAAATAATCTAATCCTAAAAAATGATTGGGTCAAACAACAAATCATAGAAACAATCAATAATTTCATTCAAGAGAATGACAATAATGAGACAACATACCAAAACCTATGGGATGCAGCGAAAGCAGTTCTTAGGGGAAGTTTTATATCTCTAAATGCTTACATAAATAAAATAGAAAAAGAGGAGATTAATGAATTGGGCATACAACTAAAAAAACTAGAAAAAGAACAAATTAAAAATCCTCAACTAAACACCAAATTAGAAATATTGAAAACCAAAGGAAAAATTAATAAAATTGAAATTAAGAAAACTATTGAACTAATAAATAAAACTAAGAGCTGGTTTTATGAAAAAACCAATAAAATAGATAAGCCTTTGGTTAATTTAATTAAAAAAAAAAAAAGAAGAAAACCAAATTACTAGTATCAAGAATGAAAAGGGTGAAGCTACCACCAAGGAAGAGGAAATTAAAACAATAATTAGGAATTATTTTGCCCAACTATATGCCAACAAATTTGACAATCTTAGTGAAATGGATACATATTTACAAAAATATAAATTGCCCAGATTAACCGAAGAGGAAGTAAAATACTTAAATAACCCCATCTCAGAAAAAGAAATTGAACAAGCCATTGATGAACTCCCTAGGAAAAAATCTCCAGGGCCAGATGGATTTACATGCGAATTCTATCAAACATTTAAAGAACAATTAATTCCAATACTATATAGACTATTTGGGAAAATAGGTGAAGAAGGAGTCTTACCAAATTCTTTTTATGATACAAATATGGTGTTGATACCTAAACCAGGAAGAGTCAAAATAGAGAAAGAAAATTATAGACCAATTTCTCTAATGAATATAGATGCAAAAATTTTAAACAAAATACTAGCAAGTAGATTGCAGCAACTTATCACAAGAATAATACACTATGACCAGGTAGGATTTATACCAGGAATGCAGGGTTGGTTCAATATTAGGAAAACTATCAGCATCATTGAGCATATCAACACCAAAACCAACAGAAACCACATGATCATCTCAATAGATGCAGAAAAAGCTTTTGATAAAATACAACACCCATTCCTATTAAAAACACTAGAAAGCATAGGTATAAATGGAGTCTTCCTTAAAATAATAAATAGCATTATCTAAAACCTTCAGCAAGCATTATATGTAATGGGGACAGGCTAGAAGCATTTCCAATAAGATCGGGGTGAAACAAGGATGTCCATTATCACCACTGTTATTCAATATTGTACTGGAAACCTTAGCTTTAGCAATAAGAGAAGAAAAAGAAATTGAAGGCATTAGAATAGGCAAAGAAGAAAAAAGCTATCACTCTTTGCAGATGACATGATGATATACTTAGAGAATCCTAGAGAATCAAGTAAAAAACTACTTGAAATAATAAACAACTTTAGCAAAGTTGCAGGCTATAAAATAAACCCACATAAATCATCAGCATTTCTATATATTACCAACAAAGCCCAACAGCAAGAGATAGAAAGAGAAATCCCATTTAAACTTACTGTAGACATTATAAAATATTTAGGAGTCTACCTACCAAACAAACCCAGGAACTCTATGAACACAATTACAAAACACTTTTCACACAAATAAAATCAGATCTAAATAATTGGAAAAACATCAGTTGCTCAT